AAAATTTTTTTTTAATAAAAAATCCCACAACATTATTTTTAGATATGGAAATATTGACAATTTTCAAAAATATATTTAAAATTTTTTGTAATAGAGTTTCGAACTGACTTCTTTAACTTAAAATAATTTACAGTAAATATAAACTAGAACAATTTCATCAAATGGATCTGACGATAAGATAAAAGCTGCGCCATAAAATGGGTTCATTGTAAACTTTTAATTGCAGATAAATTTGTACATCTCTAAACCTTAAGAGCTGGCGCCATCAATAAAACTAAACAATATTGTAAAACTTAAGATGATGGATGATGGACTGAAACTTAACCTGGCCAGCTGAGATGACTTGCAAAACGTGATGCGGTAGCTGAATATGCTAGCAGCGCACATTTTGTTGGGATGAGTATCTAGCTAACGTACGCTATCCAAATTACGTAATAAACACGGCTGATGGCCACAGCTGAGCGTATTTGGTGGTTATTATGCAGCTGCAAATGGTCCAAAAACTTTACCTTTGCCGTTACCGTTGCCTCAACATGTTTTGTGCTAATTAATGTCAAAAGCCGTTGCCAGCCACGATAGCTTACAACTGGCAGGAGCCATTTAGTTTGGAAGCCACACACACGCATACACACACACAAAGAGAGAGAGAGAGAGAGAGAGAGAGCTGCAAGTGAAATTTAAAGCCGGAAGTTTATTGTTGCAACAATGGCGCGCGTTTGCAACGGAAACGCCGGCATTGCCCTGTCGCCTCCATTGCATCCATTGCATCCATTGCTGAAGTGCCCGTTGAAGAATCGTTGGCATTGCCCAAGAAATTGCACAATGGACAACGCCTGCCTGGACGCCGGCCAGGCGCAGTCAGCGCTGCACAAAACTTTTCCTAAATAAAATCCTTCGAGTATAAATGAAATGCAAACTTTTTTTCCGGTAAGCTGACGTTCTAATTGTTTGCAGTCCGGTTTTTCTAGGGTTCCTGGCCTGCTTCATTGTTCTTGCTGTTCTTGTTGTTGTTGTTGTTGTCTTTTCTATATCTGCTATATTTGCTGTGCTGTTGTTGTTATTCCAGACTATCTGCCATAGCTGAGTTTGGCACTATGCTGATTGTACCCAAAAGGCAAATTTAGAGTTTAATGGGTATATTAGCTAACAAAAGTTTTTTTTACGATAATTTGGTATATATTAGTTTCTAAAAAATAGAAAATATATAAAATAAAACTTGCTTTACCAGCGGAAAAATTAACTATAGTCCAGAGCGAGCCATCCACTAATTCCTTATAATGTTTTATATTTTATAATATATATTTAAAGAGGCTTGTTTACCTATTAAGTAGATTAATGCTTTATTTTAATGATAAAACAATATTCAATTTCATTA